CCTTGAATCTCCACTTTCTGGAGAGACGTAGAATGAGGGGAGATATCATTGAAGTGTATAAGTGGATGAAGGGTATAAACAAAGGTGATATTAATAAAGTACTGAGGGTGTCGAACCAAGTAAGAACGAGGAATAATGGATTTAAGTTGGATAAATTTAGATTTAGAAAGGACATAGGTAAGTACTGGTTTTCTAACAGAGTTGTGGATCCGTAGAACAATCTCTCAAGTAGGGTGATCGAGGCTAGGACCTTGGGTAGCTTTAAAAAGTGATTGGACAAATATATATGAGTGGGAGGGGCTGGGTTTGATTGGTGTCATTGGGTACGGGAGAATATTCTTGGGAAGCTTAGAGTAGGGGTCATTTTGATAAGGACCTGCCTTGTATGGGCCGGTAGGCCTTCTGCAGTGTTCCTCCATTCTTATGTTCTTATTTTCTTCTTCTGCTTCTGCTTCTACTTCTACTTCTTCTTCTCGATACTTTCAGTTTTTTTAGTGGCTTCCTCTGGTCCCGATGGCTTCTTCACAAGTTACAGAGAGTAGTCACCTAGGTTGAAACGAGAATGATGACTGTTGTTGGAGTGTTATGGGTTTGCTGGAGTCCACCTGTCCCAGTGTCAAATTTGGAAAATATTTTCGCAACAAATATATATATTTTAGAAATCAAGAGAACTAACTAGCAAAGAGTTCTGGGCTCAAAGATAGCATCTTTTTTTATATTATGTAAATTTTACATTTATTCTTTAATAAATATGGTTCTTGGTAAAACTTTGAAATGAGCTGAGGAGAGAAGAGTTTTTAATACACTGGAGAGGAGAGGAGAGAGAGAGAGAGAGAGAGAGAGAGAGAGAGAGAGAGAGAGAGAGAGAGAGAGAGAGAGAGAGAAAAGGGAAGGTTAAGAAGCAACATTAGCACTAATGGGCGCATGATACCAAGCACACCATCCCTAACTCCCCACCCAGTCCCTGGACCATTCCTCTCTCGTTGTAATACGCAATCACTAGGAGACGTGCGGAGCCTCCAAACCTCCTGCATTCCCTCCCTTCCCTACCCTACCCTCCACATCCCTTCCCTTACTCTCTCCTGTTTCCTCCTTTCCTTAACCATCCCTTACTACCAAGACAAAAACGGAAACACAAATTCGCCTTGAGGATTGACGCTTGGCCGGATTATTAGGATTATGTTGTAGCAGCTCACCGGGAACGCTACGTGATGCTCTTACATTATACATAAGACGGCTAAAACATTTTTTACTCTGGCAAGGAAACCAAAACACTTAAGAATTAACTGTAGCCTCGGGAAAGATGACTCGTGGAGAGGGAGAGGAGAATAAAGAGAGGTGACAGGGTAACAGTGAGAGGCGATCGAAAAGCAGGGAAGAAGAATGGGAGAGACAGACACTTAGTAGACTCATGGCCTGTTCTATGATTCTCTTACCATCTGAGTGTGTGTGTGTGTGTGTGTGTGTGTGTGTGTGTGTGTGTGTGCGCGCGTATGCGGGAGACGCCTTTCGCCAACAATAATAAATGCTGTGGACGAATCCTTCACTGACGAGCAAAACGTCAAGAAGATAACATAAACAAGACTTTCACTCACGGCAGCTGTATATGGCGAGCACCTTTGCTGACTCTGGGCCGGTGGGAGTGTCTCACTCTCCTCCAGATGGCAGTATATGCTGAGGGCTACTCATGGGGAAGTTACTCTCATGCTGAGGGTAGTATATGCTGAGAGCTACTCATGTGGGAAGTTACTTTCATGCTGACGGTAGTATATGCTGAGGGCTACTCATGGAAAAGTTACTCTCTTTCTGACGGCAGTATATGCTGAGGATTACACATGGGGAAGTCACTCACTATTATGCTGGCGGCAGTATATGCTGACAGTTACTTATGGGGAAGTCAATTACACGGCAGTATATGCTGAATGCTGCAGACAACCTGAAGTTAGTTGTGTTCAATGAAGCTGTTACCATACAACATTGTATTGGAACTGAAAATATAGGTTACTCTCAGTGTCAAATACACTTACGCTGAGATTCTGTGTCACAGCCTACCTGAGCACTCTCACAGCCTACCTGAGCACTCTCACAGCCTAAATGAGCACTCTCACAGCCTACCTGAGCACTCTCACAACCTACCTGAGCACTCTCACAGCCTTTCCTGGCACTTCACAACCCACCTGAGCACTCTCACAACCTACCTGAGCACTCTCACAACCTACCTGAGCACTCTCACAACCTACCTGAGCACTCTCACAACCTACCTGAGCACTCTCACAACCTACCTGAGCACTCTCACAGCCTACCTGAGCACTCTCACAACCCACCCGAGCAAATCTCACAAATACCTGAGCACTCTCACAACCTACCCGGCATCTCACAACCTACTGAGCACTCTCACAACTACCTGAGCACTCTCACACCTACCTGAGCACTCTCACAACCTACCTGAGCACTCTCACAGCCTACCTGAGCACTCTCACAACCTACCTGAGCACTCTCACAACCTACCTGAGCACTCTCACAACCTACCTGAGCACTCTCACAACCTACCTGAGCACTCTCACAGCCTACCTGAGCACTCTCACAACCTACCTGAGCACTCTCACAACCTACCTGAGCACTCTCACAACCTATCTGAGCACTCTCACGCCCACCTGAGCACTGTCACAGCCTACCCGAGCACTCTCACAACTACCTGGCACTCTCACAACCTACCTGAGCACTCTCACAGCCTACCTGAGCACTCTCACAATCTACCTGAGCACTCTCACAGCCTACCTGAGCACTCTCACAACCTATCTGAGCACTCTCACAGCCTACCTGAGCACTCTCACAACCTACCTGAGCACTCTCACAACCTACCTGAGCACTCTCACAACCTACCTAAGCACTTTTCACAGCCTACCTTTAGCACTCTCAAACCTACCTGGCCCCTCTCACAACCCACCTGAGCACTCTCACAGCCCACCTGAGCACTCTCACAAAACCCACTGAGCACTCTCCAGCCTACCCGAGCACTCTCACAACCTACCTGAGCACTGTCACAGCCTACCTGAGCACTCTCAAAGCCTACCTGAGCACTCTCACAGAATACCTGAGCACTACCATAGCCTACTTGATCACTGTCACAGCCTACCTAAGCACTCTCACACCTACCTGAGCACTCTCACAACCTACCTGAGCACTGTCACAGCCTACCTTAGCACTGTCACAGCCTACCTGAGCACTGTCACAGCCTACCTGAGCACTGTCACAGCCTACCTGAGCACTGTCACAACCTACCTGAGCACTGTCACAGCCTACCTGAGCACTATCACAGCCTACCTGAGCACTGTCACAGCCTACCTGAGCACTGTCACAGCCAACCTGAGCACTGTCACAACCTACCTGAGCACTCTCACAGCCTATCTGAGCACTGTCACAACCTACCTGAGCACTGTCACAGCCTAGCTGAGCACTGTCACAGCTTACCTGAGCACTGTCACAGCCTACCAGAGCACTCTCACAGCCTATCTGAGCACTCTCACAGCCTACCTGAGCACTGTCACAGCCTACCTGAGCACTGTCACAGCCTACCTGAGCACTGTCACAGCCTACCTGAGCACTGTCACAACCTACCTGAGCACTGTCACAGCCTACCTGAGCACTATCACAGCCTACCTGAGCACTGTCACAGCCTACCTGAGCACTGTCACAGCCAACCTGAGCACTGTCACAACCTACCTGAGCACTGTCACACCCTACCTGAGTACTGTCACAACCTACCTGAGCACTGTCACAGCCTACCTGGGCACTCTCACAGCCTACCTGAGCCCTGCCACAGCCTACCTGAGCACTCTCACAGCCTACTTGAGCACTGTCACAGCCTACCTGAGCACTCTCACAGCCTATCTGAGCACTGTCACAACCTACCTGAGCACTGTCCACAGCTAAGGAGCACTGTCACAGCTTACCTGAGCACTGTCACAGCCTACCAGAGCACTCTCACAGCCTATCTGAGCACTCTCACAGCCTACCTGAGCACTGTCACCGCCTACCTGAGCACTGTCACAGCCTACCTGAGCACTGTCACAGCCTACCAGAGCACTCTCACAGCCTACCTGAGTACTCTCACAGCCTACCTGAGCACTGTCACCGCCTACCTGAGCACTGTCACAGCCTACCTGAGCACTGTCACAACCTACTTATGTACTGTTACAACCTACACATATGCTGCCACAGCCTACCTGTGCACTTCCTGCTTGCGGACTGAGCTCAGTACGTGTGTCATGGTCGACTGGGAGTCGCCGCAATAAACACCTACTCACACCCAGTGAAGATATATATTCAACAAGAAATCATATTAATATTGTTCAGCCAAAATTAAAATAAAGTTCAAAGTGGACTGCAAAAAGTAATTCGAATTCTAGCGTAATAATAATTAATAATATTATTAGAATAATACTAACATTATTATTATTATTATTATTATTATTATTATTATTATTATTATTATTATTATTTAATATGGAAACGTTAAAAATCGTTGGAACCATATATATATATATATATATATATATATATATATATATATATATATATATATATATATATATATATATATATATATATATATTATATATATAATATATATATATATCGTTTTTCTATTTAGGTCACCCTGCCTAGGTGGGATACGGTCGGTTCCTTGATAAAAGAAAGTATATAATTTTCTTTCAACATATCAGCCGTATCCCACCGAGGCGGGGTGGCCCAAAAGGAAAAACGAAAGTTTCTCTTTTCACATTTAGTAATATATACAGGAGAAGGGGTTACTAGCCCCTTGCTCCCGGCATTTTAGTCGCTTCTTACAACACGCATGGCTTACGGAGGAAGAATTCTGATCCACTTCCCCTGTATATAATTTATGATACAGAAATGCACAGGTGTGTTTGTAAACAGATTTTTTTTTTATCAAGACAAGCATGAGTAATTTCTGTCTTATTTTTTCCCTTCCTCAGAAACGGGTCAGTGGATCACTGGCTCAAGGAGTTGAGTGTCTTGTACGAGTCTGAGTGCATGAACACTCTCCAATCGAAGTCACTGCCGGGGGAGAGTGCTCAGTCCAGCACCTCCTCCGGCAGCAGCAGCAGCACCACCAGCCACGCCGTCAGAGCCATCCAGCGTCGCGCCCACGCTGTCTCAACCGAGTTCGCCAGACTTTGCCAGTGAGTAGTGACCCTCTTTTTAACGATGTTGTTACAATTACTGCTATAGGTAAGCGTTAGTAGGTGTATATGTTACTACAAAAGGTGTTGACAGGTATACTAGTTGTTACAGTAGGTGATAACAGGTATACTAGTTGTTACAGTAGGTGATAACAGGTATACTAGTTGTTACAGTAGGTGATAACAGGTATACTAGTTGTTACAGTAGGTGATAACAGGTATACTAGTTGTTACAGTAGGTGATAACAGGTATACTAGTTGTTACAGTAGGTGATAACAGGTATACTAGTTGTTACAGTAGGTGATAACAGGTATACTAGTTGTTACAGTAGGTGATAACAGGTATACTAGTTGTTACAGTAGGTGATAACAGGTATACTAGTTGTTACAGTAGGTGATAACAGGTATACTAGTTGTTACAGTAGGTGATAACAGGTATACTAGTTGTTACAGTAGGTGATAACAGGTATACTAGTTGTTACAGTAGGTGATAACAGGTATACTAGTCACTGTAGTATTAACAGTTGTACTAGTTATTCAGCAGGTGGAAACAGCAATATTAGTTACTGCAATAGATGTTTATAGGTTACTAGACAATATAATAAGATATAACAAGCATAATTGTTACTACAGCAAGTGTTAATATGCAAATTAGTTACTACAGTAGGTGTTAACATTCAAATTAGCTGCTACAGTAGCTGTTAGGAAGCATATTAGTTAGTACAATAGGTGATAACAAACATATTAGTTAATATAGTAGGTGTTAAACATATTAATTACTACAGTAGGTGTTAATAAGCATATTAATAACTACAGTAGGTGTTAACAAGCATATTAATTACTACAGTAGTTAACAAGCATATTAATTACTACAGTAGGTGTTAACAAGCATATCAGTTACTACAGGTGTTAACAAGCATATTAGTTACTACAGTAGGTGTTAACAAGCATATTAGTTGCTGCAGTAGATGTTAACAAACATATTAGTTACTCCAGTAGTTATACAGTAGGTGTTAACAAGCATATTAGTTACTAAAGTAGGTGTTAACAAGCATTTTAGTTATACAGTAGGTGTTAACAATCATATTAGTTACTACAGTAGGTGTTAACAAGCATGTTAGTTATACAGTTGATGTTAACAAGCATATCAGTTACTGCAGTAGGTGTTAACAAGCATAGTAGTTGCTACAGTAGACGTTAACATAGCTATTCTAGTTAACAGATAACAAGCATCTGTTACTAAAATAGTAGATGCAATAATTACTGTTGTAATCAGGTTCTGTGTTTCACAGGCGGCTTGAGTGGCTGGAGCTGGGACAGGTGCCTCTATTGGCAGGATCACTGGTCACTCACATCAACACCTTCCTGAGAGACTACACCACCCAGTGGACCTCCGCCGACCCCGACCTCCTTCCCCAGGTGAGTCCTATGATCTCCTGCCCCTGGTGAGTCCTCTGACGTCCCGACCTCGTGCCCCAGGCGAATCTCGTGACCTCCCGCGCCTCGCCAAGACCTCAGAATCAACGTCGCAGTGATGATCAACAATGATTGCTACCTGCTGCTAATACTTCTCGTTTCTTCTGTTGTTGATGTAGTAAGCCATGTTGCTGCTGTGGTAACCTGTGTTGCTGCTGTGGTAACCTGTGTTGCTGCTGTGGTAACCTGTGTTGCTGCTGTGGTAACTTGTGTTGTTGCTGAGGTAACCTGTGTTGCTGCTGTGGTAACTGGTGTTGTTGCTGAGGTAACCTGTGTTGCAGCTGTGGTAACCTGTGTTGTTGCTGTGGTAACCTATGTTGCTGCTGTGGTAAACTGTGTTGCTGCTGTGGTAACTTGTGTTGTTGCTGAGGTAACCTGTGTTGCTGCTGTGGTAACTTGTGTTGCTGCTGTGGTAATTTGTGTTGCTGCTGTGGTAGCCTGTGTTACTGCTGTGGTAACCTGTGTTGTTGCTGTGGTAACCATCAACAATGATTGCTACCTGCTGCTAATACTTCTCGTTTCTTCTGTTGTTGATGTAGTAAGCCATGTTGCTGCTGTGGTAATCTGTGTTGCTGCTGTGGTAACCTGTGTTGCTGCTGTGGTAACCTGTGTTGCTGCTGTGGTAACCTGTGTTGCTGCTGTGGTAACCTGTGTTGCTGCTGTGGTAGCTTGTGTTGTTGCTGAGGTACCCTGTGTTGCTGCTGTGGTAACTGGTGTTGTTGCTGAGGTAACCTGTGTTGCTGCTTTGGTAACCTGTGTTGTTGCTGTGGTAACCTGTGTTGCTGCTGTGGTAACCTGTGTTGCTGCTGTGGTAACCTGTGTTGCTGCTGTGGTAACTTGTGTTGTTGCTGAGGTAACCTGTGTTGCTGCTGTGGTAACTGGTGTTGTTGCTGAGGTAACCTGTGTTGCAGCTGTGGTAACCTGTGTTGTTGCTCTGGTAACCTATGTTGCTGCTGTGGTAAACTGTGTTGCTGCTGTGGTAACTTGTGTTGTTGCTGAGGTAACCTGTGTTGCTGCTGTGGTAACTTGTGTTGCTGCTGTGGTAATTTGTGTTGCTGCCGTGGTAGCCTGTGTTACTGCTGTGGTAACCTGTGTTGTTGCTGTGGTAACCATCAACAATGATTGCTACCTGCTGCTAATACTTCTCGTTTCTTCTGTTGTTGATGTAGTAAGCCATGTTGCTGCTGTGGTAACCTGTGTTGCTGCTGTGGTAACCTGTGTTGCTGCTGTGGTAACCTGTGTTGCTGCTGTAGTAACCTGTGTTGCTGCTGTGGTAGCTTGTGTTGTTGCTGAGGTAACCTGTGTTGCTGCTGTGGTAACTGGTGTTGTTGCTGAGGTAACCTGTGTTGCTGCTTTGGTAACCTGTGTTGTTGCTGTGGTAACCTGTGTTGCTGCTGTGGTAACCTGTGTTGCTGCTGTGGTAACCTGTGTTGCTGCTGTGGTAACTTGTGTTGTTGCTGAGGTAACCTGTGTTGCTGCTGTGGTAACTGGTGTTGTTACTGAGGTAACTTGTGTTGCTGCTGTGGTAACCTGTGTTGTTGCTGAGGTAACCTGTGTTGCTGCTGTGGTAACCTGTGTTGCTGCTGTGGTAACCTGTGTTGCTGCTGTGGTAACTTGTGTTGTTGCTGAGGTAACCTGTGTTGCTGCTGTGGTAACTTGTGTTGTTGCTGAGGTAACCTGTGTTGCTGTTGTGGTAACCTGTGTTGCTGCTGTGGTAACCTGTGTTGCTGCTGTGGTAACCTGTGTTGCTGCTGTGGTAACCTGTGTTGCTGCTGTAGTAACCTGTGTTGCTGCTGTGGTAGCTTGTGTTGTTGCTGAGGTAACCTGTGTTGCTGCTGTGGTAACTGGTGTTGTTGCTGAGGTAACCTGTGTTGCTGCTTTGGTAACCTGTGTTGTTGCTGTGGTAACCTGTGTTGCTGCTGTGGTAACCTGTGTTGCTGCTGTGGTAACCTGTGTTGCTGCTGTGGTAACTTGTGTTGTTGCTGAGGTAACCTGTGTTGCTGCTGTGGTAACTGGTGTTGTTACTGAGGTAACTTGTGTTGCTGCTGTGGTAACCTGTGTTGTTGCTGAGATAACCTGTGTTGCTGCTGTGGTAACCTGTGTTGCTGCTGTGGTAACCTGTGTTGCTGCTGTGGTAACTTGTGTTGTTGCTGAGGTAACCTGTGTTGCTGCTGTGGTAACTTGTGTTGTTGCTGAGGTAACCTGTGTTGCTGTTGTGGTAACCTGTGTTGCTGCTGTGGTAACCTGTGTTGCTGCTGTGGTAACTGGTGTTGTTGCTAAGATAACCTGTGTTGCTGCTGTGGTAACCTGTGTTGTTGCTGTGGTAACCTGTGTTGCTGCTGTGGTAACCTGTGTTGCTGCTGTGGAAACCTGTGTTGCTGCTGTGGTAACTTGTGTTGTTGCTGAGGTAACCTGTGTTGCTGCTGTGGTAACTGGTGTTGTTGCTGAGGAAACCTGTGTTGCTGCTGTGGTAACCTGTGTTGTTGCTGTGGTAACCTGTGTTGCTGCTGTGGTAACCTGTGTTGCTGCTGTGGTAACTTGTGTTGTTGCTGAGGTAACCTGTGTTGCTGCTGTGGTAACTGGTGTTGTTGCTGAGGTAACCTGTGTTGATGCTGTGGTAACCTGTGTTGTTGCTGTGGTAACCTGTGTTGCTGCTGTGGTAACCTGTGTTGCTGCTGTGGTAACCTGTGTTGCTGCTGTGGTAACCTGTGTTGCTGCTGTGGTAACTTGTGTTGTTGCTGAGGTAACCTGTGTTGCTGCTGTGGTAACCTGTGCTGCTGCTGTGGTAACCTGTGTTGCTGCTGTGGTAGCCTGTGTTGCTGCTGTGGTAACCTGTGTTGTTGCTGTGGTAACCTGTGTTGCTGCTGTGGTAACCTGTGTTGCTGCTGTGGTAACCTGTGTTGCTGCTGTGGTAACTTGTGTTGTTGCTGAGGTAACCTGTGTTGCTGCTGTGGTAACCTGTGTTGCTGCTGTGGTAACCTGTGTTGCTGCTGTGGTAACTTGTGTTGTTGCTGAGGTAACCTGTGTTGTTGCTGTGGTAACCTGTGTTGCTACTGTGGCATCCTGTGTTGCTGCTGTGGTAGCCTGTGTTGCTGCTGAGGTAACCTGTGTTGCTGCTGTGGTAACCTGTGTTGTTGCTGAGGTAACCTGTGTTGCTGCTGTGGTAACCTGTGCTGCTGCTGTGGTAACCTGTGTTGCTGCTGTGGTAACCTGTGTTGTTGCTGAGGTAACCTGTGTTGCTGCTGTGGTAACCTGTGTTGCTGCTGTGGTAACCTGTGTTGCTGCTGTGGTAACTTGTGTTGTTGCTGAGGTAACCTGTGTTGCCGCTGTGGTAACCTGTGTTGCTGTTGTGGTAACCTTGTGTTGCTTGGTATTTCTGCTGGGTAACCTGTGTTGCTGCTGTGGTAACCTGTGTTGCTGCTGTGGTAACCTGTGTTGTGCTGAGGTAACCTGTGTTGCTGCTGTGGTAACCTGTGTTTGCTTGGTACTTTTGCTGTGGTAACCTGTCTTGCTGCTGTGGTAACCTGTGTTGCTGCTGTGGTAACCTGTGTTGCTGCTGTGGTAACCTGTGTTGCTGCTGTGGTAACCTGTGTTGCTGCTGTGGTAACTTGTGTTGCTGCTGAGGTAACCTGTGTTGCTGCTGTGGTAACTGGTGTTGCTGCTAAGGTAACCTGTGTTGCTGCTGTGGTAACCTGTGTTGTTGCTGTGGTAACCTGTGTTGCTGCTGTGGTAACCTGTGTTGTGCTGATTTGCTGTGGTAACCTGTGTTGCTGCTGTGGTAACTTGTGTTGTTGCTGAGGTAACCTGTGTTGCCGCTGTGGTAACCTGTGTTGCTGTTGTGGTAACGTGTGTTGCTGCTGTGGTAGCCTGTGTTGCTGCTATGGTAACCTGTGTTGTTGCTGTGGTAACCTGTGTTGCTGCTGTGGTAACCCGTGTTGCTGCTGTGGTAACCTGTGTTGCTGCTGTGGTAACTTTTGTTTTTGCTGAGGTAACCTGTGTTGCTGCTGTGTTAACCTGTGTTGCTGCTGTGGTAACCTGTGTTGCTGCTGTGGTAACCTGTGTTGTTGCTGAGGTAACCTGTGTTGCTGCTGTGGTAACTTGTGTTGTTGCTGAGGTAACCTGTGTTGCTGCTGTGGTAACTTGTGTTGCTGCTGTGGTAACCTGTGTTGCTGCTGTGGTAACCTGTGTTGCTGTTGTGGTAACCTGTGTTGCTGCTGTGGTAATCTGTCTTGTGGCTGAGGTAACCTGTGTTGCTGCTGTGGTAACCTGTGTTGCTGCTGTGGTAACCTGTGTTGCTGCTGTGGTAACTTGTGTTGTTGCTGAGGTAACCTGTGTTGCCGCTGTGGTAACCTGTGTTGCTGTTGTGGTAACCTGTGTTGCTGCTGTGGTAACCTGTGTTGCTGCTGTGGTAACCTGTGTTGCTGCTGTGGTAACCTGTGTTGTTGCTGAGGTAACCTGTGTTGCTGCTGTGGTAACCTGTGTTGCTGCTGTGGTAACCTGTGTTGCTGCTGTGGTAACCTGTGTTGCTGCTGTGGTAACCTGTGTTGCTGCTGTGTTAACGCTGTGTTGCTTGCTGTGGTAACTTGTGTTGTTGCTGAGGTAACCTGTGTTGCTGCTGTGGTAACTGGTGTTGCTGCTGAGGTAACCTGTGTTGCTGCTGTGGTAACCTGTGTTGTTGCTGTGGTAACCTGTGTTGCTGCTGTGGTAACCTGTGTTGCTGCTGTGGTAACCTGTGTTGCTGCTGTGGTAACTTGTGTTGTTGCTGAGGTAACCTGTGTTGCCGCTGTGGTAACCTGTGTTGCTGTTGTGGTAACGTGTGTTGCTGCTGTGGTAGCCTGTGTTGCTGCTATGGTAACCTGTGTTGTTGCTGTGGTAACCTGTGTTGCTGCTGTGGTAACCCGTGTTGCTGTTGTGGTAACCTGTGTTGCTGCTGTGGTAACCTGTCTTGTGGCTGAGGTAACCTGTGTTGCTGCTGTGGTAACCTGTGTTGCTGCTGTGGTAACCTGTGTTGCTGCTGTGGTAACTTGTGTTGTTGCTGAGGTAACCTGTGTTGCCGCTGTGGTAACCTGTGTTGCTGTTGTGGTAACCTATGTTGCTGCTGTGGTAACCTGTGTTGCTGCTGTGGTAACCTGTGTTGCTGCTGTGGTAACCTGTGTTGTTGCTGAGGTAACCTGTGTTGCTGCTGTGGTAACCTGTGTTGCTGCTGTGGTAACCTGTGTTGCTGCTGTGGTAACCTGTGTTGCTGCTGTGGTAACCTGTGTTGCTGCTGTGGTAACCTGTGTTGCTGCTGTGGTAACTTGTGTTGTTGCTGAGGTAACCTGTGTTGCTGCTGTGGTAACTGGTGTTGCTGCTGAGGTAACCTGTGTTGCTGCTGTGGTAACCTGTGTTGTTGCTGTGGTAACCTGTGTTGCTGCTGTGGTAACCTGTGTCGCTGCTGTGGTAACCTGTGTTGCTGCTGTGGTAACTTGTGTTGTTGCTGAGGTAACCTGTGTTGCCGCTGTGGTAACCTGTGTTGCTGTTGTGGTAACGTGTGTTGCTGCTGTGGTAGCCTGTGTTGCTGCTATGGTAACCTGTGTTGTTGCTGTGGTAACCTGTGTTGCTGCTGTGGTAACCCGTGTTGCTGCTGTGGTAACCTGTGTTGCTGCTGTGGTAACTTTTGTTGTTGCTGAGGTAACCTGTGTTGCTGCTGTGTTAACCTGTGTTGCTGCTGTGGTAACCTGTGTTGCTGCTGTGGTAACCTGTGTTGTTGCTGAGGTAACCTGTGTTGCTGCTGTGGTAACTTGTGTTGTTGCTGAGGTAACCTGTGTTGCTGCTGTGGTAACTTGTGTTGCTGCTGTGGTAACCTGTGTTGCTGCTGTGGTAACCTGTGTTGCTGTTGTGGTAACCTGTGTTGCTGCTGTGGTAACCTGTCTTGTTGCTGAGGTAACCTGTGTTGCTGCTGTGGTAACCTGTGTTGCTGCTGTGGTAACCTGTGTTAGCTGCTGTGGTAACCATGGTTGCTGCTGTGGTAACTTGTTGTTGATGTGAGGTAACCTGTGTTGCTGCTGTGGTAACTGTGTTGCTGCTGGGTAAACCAGTGTGCTGCGTGGTAACCTGTTTGCATGCTGTGGAAACCTGTGTTGTTGCTGTGGTAACCTGTGTTGCTGCTGTGGTAACTTGTGTTGCTGCTGTGGTAACTTGTGTTGCTGGTAATTAGCGGAGGGTCGAGGTTCCATCTCATGTTGCGTCCAACAGCCAACAGGAGTTTAGCGCTTTGATATAAACTTGTAAGATGTTGTGTTGAGTAAGTTCTCTCGGTGTCCTGTGTACTGTTCTAGGACGTAGAACATTATACCTAGAATCTAGGCGGTGGTTAACATATAACAAAGAGCAATGTAATAATAATAATAATAATAATAATAATAATAATAATAATAATAATAATAATAATAATAATAATAATCTTTGTGTGTAGAAAAAGACATGTACAGTTCAGGACATTTATTAAAGGAAACGTTTCGCCACGATTGGCTTCTTCAGTCCTAATACAGTCCTAAGACAGGGACAGATGGCTACAGAGGGACCTGTTGATATCATGTTACAGCAGTTTCCAAAGTGGGTAATATCCTGTTGATTAGGAATTTTGAGATACTGTAACTACCGGACTTGTGCTCTATAATGTTACCGACAGCAATGTCCTGAACTGTACATATGGTATCACCATATCATTTCCTCAATAATATCTTTATTTACTACGTATGGAAAGGTACAACAGCAAAGAACAGTTGGAACAAAAGTATTTAGTGTTGTAGGTTAGTTATAAATGCTACAGGGGGAACAGGAGAAGTTAGCCACAACAACACAACAATAGGACCAGTGTTTTGTGGTGTAGGAGAGTTATAACCTACTGCAAGTGTAGTGACATCAGGCATTGTGTTGACGTATGTGTGTCTTATTTTGACAGTCATCGCTGGGTCGTCAGAGTAAAGTGATCCAGCAGATTTGTGAGAGACTGAAGGAGGTGTGTAGCAGCGACCACCAGGACCACAATACGACCCGTCAGGTGGTGCAGGTGGTGACGGCGCTGGGCCATGCCTTTACCAAGCTGGTCGACCTCATGCTGAGCAGAGAGATCAGGGTAAGTGAGATGGGTCAGGGAATAGGTGGCACTGCTGGGACCCTTAATGGTTACATTGGCTTATAGAGAAAGGACTGCGAGGCACTGTTGGCTCTCCTACTGATCAAAGTAAATGTGGAAGGTCATGGAGTAAGTGGTAATGTTGGCACCCTAACAGATGAGAGTGGAAATAGGTACAAGTTAGATGTTACTGTTAATTCTCATATAATTTAAGGGGAATGGTGAGGGCCAGGTGAATGTGAATCCGGAACACTGGTGAATGTTGGAGTAGAGGCTGAGGTGTAGACAAGGTGACAGATGCTATTATGGGCACTCACAAGTAGGTGAGTGTGGAATGCCAGGTAGTAGGTGACAGTGTTCTTATTACCTCAGATCAATTAGGTGTAAGGAATTATTTTCTAGACGAAAATAAATAAATGCAATATAGAAAATAATCCAACGTACTTTAAAGACTTTGACAAACGACAATTCTGTGACTGTGGTAAGAAACACATTTATAAAATGAGGATAATGAAAAGAACGAGACGTTTCGTCGTAAACCTGGAAATTATTAAAAATTACTGTCTTTAAGATTTTCTTCCTGGAGTTATTACAGGTATTAGGGAGCATCATTAGCCATCAGCCCTATAATTACATACTTCGGAGCTCTGATCCAGTTAACTTGTGCGGGAGACAACGTTAACAGAGAAGTCCCTGTGCTCGCACACTTATTAACTTCTCTCTCAATTGAGCTTGAACTTGACCTGTGTGACCTCTACTGACTGGTGCAGTTGTGACTTCTGTTAATTCATATTGTAACCTTTGTTAATTCATGTTGTGACATTTATTGACTATCTTGTGATCTTTTGGTAACTCGTTACCTTTGATGACTCGTACGATTGTGATCCCTGGTAACGTATTGCTAATTGACAGGTGGTGGTACGAGTCCTGGAGGAGCCGAAAGAAGAGGAGGTGACCTCGGCTGTGTCACATCTTACAGCTCTGGGTGTAGATGGAGGTCACATCTGCCGCCTCATAGCTCGCCTGGGGGGCGTGCGGGGCCTGCTGGGAGTGTGTCTGGAACCTCGGCTGCGACACGTGCGAGTGGCAGCACTCAGAGCACTCGCCACCGTCTGCTGTGTTGTCGATGGTATCGTCGAACTGGAGAAGGTGAGCTACATCTTCCTTAGGTCCTAGTCTTCAGTTTCACTAGTTTACGTAACAACAATCTGCCGTAACAACAGTCTATAGAAACAGTATACAACAGTAACACCAACTTGATTTTCAAAACTTTCACTTCCACGCATTTCCTTTTACAATTTTTGCATAGATTACGTATAATCTCGAACTTTTATTATATATGTTTTTTTTTAATTTCCAAAGAAAAGGGTGAAAAAAAATCTTAGATTTCGAACTTCCCTGCATTATATTCAGATTTTTCCCACTTCTTAAAATATATTTTCCATCTCTTAGGCTGTTGGTGTTCTGGTATTGGAGGCAGTAATCATAATCATGTCTCTCCCTCAGGCTGGAGGTGTGGAGGTGGTGGCGGAGGTGCTGTGTGATGAAGACTGTCCAGAGGAGGAGAGGAGTGAGGCTGCCGGAGTGTTGGCGCAGATCACCTCCCCGTGGGTGGAGAACACCCACCGCCTCTCTGCCCTCCATACCCACATGCGCACCATCGTCCAGGCTCTCACAGGTAACTCTACATCTAATCTAAACTTTAATAGCTCCGGTAATGATATAATTAAGCGACATAAAAGGCCACATTTAGACAATTAACAAAGTTGCCTCACGCTTCTTGTCCTCTGTTGAGATCCCTCACGTCATTTGCGCATAAAAACTCTGGCCTTACACCGGACACTTAGGTGAAGGGCCTTGACCAATTAATTTGCTACGCGTATCGTGTTTATTGTGTTTTCAGCGGGTTTGTTGCTGGAATGAACACACAGATTCTTGCCATTTATGTAACGTAGCATAGTGAGGGGTGTTAAGTCCTCCCCGTCTCCTCAACAGGTTTGGCCCAGGCCACGCGTTCTGCAGAGATCTTCCTGCTGGCGTCGGCAGCATTGGCCAACCTGACTTTCTTAGACGGTGGGTGTGTGGAAGCCATGAAGAATGCTGGCACCGCCCGTGTCCTATTGAAGGCCGCCCGCGACAATCCCGACATTTCTATCTTCACTAAAGATCAGGTCAGCGCAAACTTTACTCCTACGGGTCTTGGACCTGGCCACTGGTTCCCTGGCCCTTAAAAACCAGGTAACCATTCCTCATATTTGTCAAGTTCCAAGTGCCATGTTTCCAAGCTTGAAGATCCATGGTGACAATTATAAATAAGCATTTTTTATATAATTTTGGTTGTTTTAATTATTCGGATTTTGATAGTGAGGCCCTTCAAGGAAGATGTCATCATGAAGGATCAAACCAGACTTCTTCCCATTTCCATGGTGCTTCTCCATGATTATAACAATAACTATAATTTGATACTGAGAAAGAATTGTGAGGATTATCTGAAGAAGGAAAGGTAATATAATTGTGAGGTAATATCTTAGTGGATGCCATCCTTGTTAGAGATACCTGAGGTGTTCCTTACAACGTGAAACATAAGAACATAAGAAAGGAGGAACACTGCAGCAGGCCTGTTGGCCCATACTAGGCAGGTCCTTCACAATCCCTCCCACTAACAAAATTTTTGCCCAACCCAAATTAAGATCATTACAAGATATCACCACTGGTTTCATGGATTTATAGATCGCCACGGTGCTGGCTAACTTGGCGGGGTCGCGGGAGACAGCAGAGGAAGTGGTTAGGTGCGGAGGTGTTACGATCTTGTTGTCGCTGCTCAATACCCGCCCCGCTCCCTCCCACCGTCTACCGGAAGTGGCCACCGCCGAGCGAGTCCAGCAAAAGTCCGCCATCGCCCTCTCCAGGTGAGTTACCTCAGGCATTACTACTAAACCTTTTTCCTGAATATTTCTGATTTCCGTCTCCCTGGTTGTTTTTAATTTGATTTTTGCAATACACAAAACTCTTAATCCTGGCATACATGTTTTAGTCTGTAGAGCAAATTTTTTATTCCTGCTCCATCCTTCGTCAGACTGTGTAAAGAGACGACAGTGGCGCGGCAGGTGGTAGAGCTGGGTGGGGCGGAGCGCCTGGTGAGACTGTGTAAGGATGACCAAGAACGTAACCACAGCGATGCAGTCCTTGTTGCATGCCTGGTGAGTAGTGCGATTCTCTCTCTCTCTCTCTTTCATACACACACACCTCACGGGGTTATGAAGCTACACACAAGCACTCAAAACACACACATGAAGAGTGACCTAGTAGTGACCAGTGAAGAGGCGGGTCCCAGGAACTGTGATTCGACCCCTGCAACCACAACTAGGTGAGTACTTGCGACCCCTGCAACCACAAATAGGTGAGTATAGGTGAGTGCACACACATATTCAATATATACAATCTTTAACTTTAAACAGTATCTCGTACATTTCGTCTTCCGTTTTGATGAATGTCATCTTCTTTTTTTTTTTATTTCACATTTAGTTTGCTTTCTGTACACTTGAATAGGAGTTACATTATATAGCTGTCGATAATTTATTTACTCATTCTTGCACAGGCGGCCCTGCGGAAGATGGCTTCGTCGCTGGGATCAGAGGAGCTACGAGGGATGGACGCCGCCGAGCTGGTGGAACCTCGCCTCCTGGACTCCTTCCTCACCTACTCCTCCCGTCAGGAGAGCTACGTGTAGAGGGAGAAACCTAGGACTCCTGTGTCGCCTATTCCTCCTGTCAGAAGAGCAACGTGTTGAGGAAATACCTACGACTCCTACCTCACCTAATCTTACGTCAGAAGAGCTACGTATAAAGGAGCATCAGTGGTAAATATCTGGCGCAATGAAAGATGTTGGACTCACTACAAATCCCCGGAGCCGCTCTCCTGCCGCTATGGAAACATAGTACAGGAGACACGTAAGGAATCATCAGGTATCCTCTACTCCGTTAGCAGACAACTAAATGAGCTCCTTCATCATCTTGTGAATTCTCTGTCATGTGTTGTATGAGAGTAGAAACTTTGGCATTTGAAAAGTTATGAAAGATGTGTGTATTGCATCAACAAAAAATCTATTTCCTAACCCCCAAAAATACCGGAACATTATAAAGGCTTGTGTATGGATGTAGATCTTCTTTACAATTTCGAAAAGTATTATTCCATGGAATCATCGTCAGACTTGTTATATAAGAAGTACTTAACTTGCTCATTTATTATTAGACTTATTTGTGGAGGTTGCCAGTCTACATAATAAGTGATACATGACTCTCATCTTTGTCATTTTATTCGTGTGAATATAAAAGTTGAGCGATGTTTTGTTATGAGTTTTTACTTGGAATTACTTCATATTTTATGAATGTTTTCTCAATAATGAATATCATGGGTATTGAGAGGCTGTGTCCTACCCAGCCTTCTGTCTTGATAGGTTGTGGCCTGCCCAGCCTTCTGTCTTGATAGGTTGTGGCCTGCCCAGCCTTCTGTCTTGATAGGTTGTGGCCTGCCCAGCCTTCTGTCTTGATAGGTTGTGGCCTGCCCAGCCTTCTGTCTTGATAGGTTGTGGCCTTCCCAGCCTTCTGTCTTGATAGGTTGTGGGCCCGCCCAGCCTTCTGTCTTGATAGGTTGTGGCCTGCCCAGCCTTCTGTCTTGATAGGTTGTGGCCTGCCCAGCCTTCTGTCTTGATAGGTTGTGGCCTGCCCAGCCTTCTGTCTTGATAGGTTGTGGCCTGCCCAGCCTTCTGTCTTGATAGGTTGTGGCCTGCCCAGCCTTCTGTCTTGCTAGGTTGTGGCCTGCCCAGCCTTCTGTCTTGATAGGCTGTGTCCTGCCCAGCCTTCTGTCTTGATAGGTTGTGGCCTGCCCAGCCTTCTGTCTTGATAGGTTGTGGCCTGCCCAGCCTTCTGTCTTGATGGATTGTGGCTTGCCCAGCCTTCTGTCTTGCTAGGTTGTGGCCTGTCCAGCCTTCTGTCTTGATAGGTTGTGGCCTGCCCAGCCTTCTGTCTTGATAGGTTGTGGCCTGCCCAGCCTTCTGTCTTGATAGGTTGTGGCCTGCCCAGCCTTCTGTCTTGATGGATTGTGGCTTGCCCAGCCTTCTGTCTTGCTAGGTTGTGGCCTGTCCAGCCTTCTGTCTTGATGGATTGTGGCTTGCCCAGCCTTCTGTCTTGATAGTTTCTGGCCTGCCCAGCCTTCTGTCTTGATGGATTGTGGCTTGCCCAGCCTTCTGTCTTGATAGTTTCTGGCCTGCCCAGCCTTCTGTCTTGATGGATTGTGGCTTGCCCAGCCTTCTGTCTTGCTAGGTTGTGGCCTGCCCAGGTTGTGTCCTGCCCAGCCTTCTGTCTTGATAGATTGTGGCCTGCCCAGCCTTCTATCTTGCTAGGTTCTGGCCTGCCCAGCCTTCTGTCTTGATAGTTTCTGGCCTGCCCAGCCTTCTGTCTTGATAGATTGTGGCTTGCACAGCCTTCTGTCTTGATGGATTGTGGCTTGCCCAGCCTTCTGTCTTGCTAGGTTGTGGCCTGCCCAGCATTCTGTCTTGCTAGGTTGTGGCCTGCCCAGCATTCTGTCTTGCTAGGTTGTGGCCTGCCCAGCCTTCTGTCTTGCTAGGTTGTGGCCTGCCCAGCATTCTGTCTTGCTAGGTTGTGGCCTGCCCAGCCTTCTGTCTTGCTAGGTTGTGGCCTGCCAGCCTTCTGTCTTGCTAGGTTGTGGCCTGCCCAGCATTCTGTCTTGCTAGGTTGTGGCCTGCCCAGCCTTCTGTCTTGCTAGGTTGTGGCCTGCCCAGCCTTCTGTCTTGCTAGGTTGTGGCCTGCCCAGCCTTCTGTCTTGCTAGGTTGTGTCCTGCCCAGCATTCTGTCTTGCTAGGTTGTGGCCTGCCCAGCATTCTGTCTTGCTAGGTTGTGGCCTGCCCAGCATTCTGTCTTGCTAGGTTGTGGCCTGCCCAGCATTCTGTCTTGCTAGGTTGTGGCCTGCCCAGCCTTCTGTCTTGCTAGGTTGTGGCCTGCCCAGCCTTCTGTCTTGCTAGGTTGTGGCCTGCCCAGCCTTCTGTCTTGCTAGGTTTGTGGCCTGCCCAGCCTTCTGTCTTGCTAGGTTGTGGCCTGCCCAGCCTTCTGTCTTGCTAGGTTGTGGCCTGCCCAGCCTTCTGTCTTGCTAGGTTGTGGCTTGCCCAGCCTTCTGTCTTGCTAGGTTGTGGCCTGCCCAGCCTTCTGTCTTGCTAGGTTGTGGCCTGCCCAGCCTTCTGTCTTGCTAGGTTGTGGCCTGCCCAGCCTTCTGTCTTGCTAGGTTGTGGCCTGCCCAGCCTTCTGTCTTGCTAGGTTGTGGCCTGCCCAGCCTTCTGTCTTGCTAGGTTGTGGCCTGCCCAGCCTTCTGTCTTGCTAGGTTGTGGCCTGCCCAGCCTTCTGTCTTGCTAGTCAATGACTTGTACCAAAAACTTAAACTTCTTGTTTATAAATGTACATTCCATTTTTATCATATTGTTCATATTTTAATACAAATGATATACTGGAAAAAGTGTTTAATTTTCCTATTTAATGCTGACTTGACCTAAAAAAAATATTTACTAGCATTCTGGCGGCTTCTGGGATGAGTTTTCCTCACATGAAATATTGAGGAGACGGGGAGGCGTAGAATGAGGAAGGAAGAGGAAAAGAGAGGGGAAAAGCATAGAGATCACAGAAACAGAAGTAAAGGCAAGAGAGAAGTGTTAGAGATCGATATTGAAGAAATGAGGATTCACAGTCAAATTCCAGTCAAGGGAGGTTCTTTGATGCCTGTGAGGGGGGAGGAGGGTTGTGATCTAAGACACTGGACTTTGCTTCAGCTCATTGAGTCGCGCCTAACACCTATTTCCCCCAAACGCTGTATGATCCTTCGGGTTTAGGACCATTACATATATATATATATATATATATATATAAAATATATATATATATATATATATATATATATTTTATATATATATATATATATATATATATATATATATACACACTAATCCCTGGAGGTAAGAGGGACTAGTGATGCTCGTGGTAAGAACTTTTTCAAGAGGGGTTCTTATCCTCCCCTTTCTTGGATCGAACCTGAATGTTCTCCATTCCACAGGCGCTATGTAACCTTTACTGATTTACCACTTCCTCCCACTCTAATAAAAACAATAGATAAATTAAGGGAGGTTACTTGACATCTGTGAGAGGCTCTTAATCCAAGAATTTTGACCTGGCCTTCCCGTGATTACCTTCCAGCATTCATCGGATGCTGAATGATCCTTGTGGGTTTAGCGAGTCCACGTGAATGCAATACTAATAACATTTCTAAGGTGAAGGGGTGTCAGGAATACAATAGATCAAGCCATACTTCCCATCTAATTCTCTTACGAATAACTTAATGGGAGGAAAAATCTAGTTGAATATTAAGCTGCAGTTCACAGTAAATAAGTGTATAAGAAGCACTCTCATCTGGTATTACAAATGCCTCGATTATCTGTGAAATATAAATTATAGTACCATTAACTAAAATCAGTTCGGGTACAAGTTTTGAAGCTATTACACAATGTCATGATGTTGTAGGATCAAGTAACCTTGTGAAACAGTAGCTTTAGTCAACGAACACAGCTGAGTATATACTGTACACCGAGAAGTGTTTATCTGTCTTAGTTACCATTTTGTTCTAGGCACATGTTGGTTAGACACTAGGCGGCCTGTTGTATATGCGTGGGTGTATGTGTGTGTGTGTACTAACCTATTTGTACTCACCTATTTGTGGTTGCAGGGGTCGATACATAGCTCCTGGCCCCGCCTCTTCACTGACCGCTACTATGTCCTCTCTCTCTCTCTGTTCCATGAGCTTTATCATACCTCGTCTTAAAACTATGTATGGTTCCTGCCTCCACTACATCACTTGCCAGATTATTCCACTTCCTAACAACTCTGTGACCGAAGAAATACTTCCTAACATCCCTTTGGCTCATCTGAGTCTTCAACTTCAAATTGTGTCCCGTTGTTTCTGTGTGCTATCTATGGAACATCCTGTCTCCGTTCACTTTATCTATTCTACGCAGTATTTTGTATGTCATTATCATGCCACCCCTGACCCTCCTGTCCTCCAATATCGTCAGACCTATTTCCCTCAACCTTTCTTCGTAGGACATTTCCCTAGCTCTGGAACCAGCCTTGTTGCAAACATTTGTACTTTCGCTAATTTCTTGACGTTCTTGACCAGGTGTGGGTTCCATACTGGTGCTGCATACTCCAGTGTGGGCCTGCGTACACAGTGTACAATGTCTTGAAAGATTCCTTACTAAGGTATCGGAACGCTATTCTCAGGTTTGCCAGGCGCCCATATGCTGCAGCAGTTATCTGGTTGATGTATGCTTCCGGAGACGTGTTCGGCGTTATCCTCACCCAAAGATCTTTCTCCGTGAGTGAGATTTGCAGTCTTTGTCCACCTAGCCTATACTCTGTCTGCGGTCTTCTTTGCCCTTCCCGAATCTTCAAGTCTTGGCCGGAAATTTTCAGCACGCTATTTAAATCTCTTTTGTTTATTCCTGTTATCCATTTATACGCCTCGATCATATCCCCCTTAATTCTAAGCCTTTCGAGAGAGTGCAGATTCAGGGCCCTCAGTCTGTCCTCATAGGGAAGATTTCTGATACATGGGATCAACTTTGTCATCCTCCTATGTACGTTTTCCCTAGCATTTATATCCATTCTGTAATACGGTGACCAGAACTGTGTAGCATAATCTAAATGAGGCCTAATCAAGGATATAATAGAGTTGAAGAAGAACCTGAGGACTTCTATTATTTACATTTCTAGATATGAAGCCAAGAATTTTGTAAGCTTTATTGGGAACAATAATGCCCTGCTGTCTTGGATTTAGATTACTGCTAACCAGAACTCCTAAATCCTTTTCGCAATCAGTAGTCTTAAGATCTACATTATTTAGTATATATCTGGCATAATTATTTTCCTGTCCAACATTTAGAAGTTTGCATTTGTCTATATTAAACTGCATCTGCCATTTCTCTGAACATTGCATCAGTCTATTCAAATCATCCTGGAGTGCTCTAGTGTCCTTATTAGAATGAATTGGACGGCCTATCTTGGTGTCATCAGCAAATTTGATTATGTCATTATTTATTCCCTCATCTATGCCGTTTATGTAAATTGTGAACAACAACGGGCCCAACACTGACCCCTGTGGAACACCTCTTGTGACGTGCCCCCATTCTAATTTCTCCCCATTTATGCAAACTCTCTGCTGCCTATTTGTCAGCCATGCCTCTACCCATGAAAAAATTTCTCCTATTCCGTGTGCCTTTAGTTTCCTCAATAGCCTCTGACGTGGAACTCTATCGAAAGCCTTACTGAAGTCCATATACACAATATCACATCCGTTACCATGATCTACCTCCTCAAACACCTTAGTGAAAAAAGTTGACAAATTCGTAAGATAGGAACGCCATTAGTAAAACCGCGTTGAGATTCATTAATCAGTTTATGCCTATCAAGATAACTACGAATTGTTTCGGAAATTATTGATTCCATAA